AGGAGCCAGGGGTGGACCCACCTCCGTGGCCCCGGCACTTACAGCACAGCGGTGGCTTGATCAGCGTCTGAGGAATGATGAACAAAGAGCCCACCCAGCCTTTGCCCCCAGGTGCCCTCCTCCCTTTCTCCCCCTCTGCTCCCCAGGTGGGCCGTCAGCTCCCTGAACCCATGCCCCTGGTGCTCAAGGTGCGGCTGGGCGCCACACCCACAGTCACACTCCGTACCAACAACGCCACACTGCGGCTGCGGCCCTTCGTGGAGGTCCTGGCCCCGGCGTCCAGCTCAGCTTTCCAGTCCCTTTCCTCCCTCGATGTGGTGGGTGAGGTGGGCTGCGTGGGGCTGGCCAGCGGGTGGGCGACTCTCAAGGAGACCTCACTTCCTCCTGCACTCTCCTCACTTGCTCTGTTCTAGCCACACTGGTCTCCTTGCTGTTCCTTCAATGTGCTAGGACATTCCTGCCTCAGGACCTTTGCATGTGCCGTACCCTGTGCCTAGGGCACTCTTCCCCTGGCTCTTGGCATGGCTGGCTTCTCCTCATCTTTCAGGTCTCAGATTAAATGTTGCAGCCTTCCTCTGGGCAGCGTTCCGGGACCACCCTGAGAAATATGACCCCCATTTCTCCAAACACCACTCTGCCTTCATGGCACCCACCACTCTCTGAAAGGATCCTGTCTGATTACTTTGGTTGTTGTTCACCTCCTCCAGTGGCCTGTGCTCCACAAACACCTGAATGAATAGGGCGGTGGGTGGGAGACTGGGGTAGCTGGTGGCCAGCTGAGAGCTCCCACGTGGCTCTGTGCCCTTTGACCCTCTTCTCTCCACGTGTCCAGGTAGTGAACCTGAGCCTCCAGCCTCCGTGAGGCTTCGGGGGACCACATCTGTGCTGGGGTAAGTGAGGCCTCCTGGACCCAGCAGCCTCAGTGTGTTCCTCTGTGCAATGTGCCTGCAATCACCCATCACAGTGTTAGTCAGAGGAGCTTGGGGTGCAGCAGGCGTGGTACATGGGTGGTGGGCATTAGGCCCCATTTCTAACCCCTCTGCTTCCCTTTCAGGAATGTCCAGATCACTGTGGCCTCCTCCAGTGTGGGCTTCATTGATGTGAGTATGGGGCTGGGGTCTCCAGAGACCCCCTCACTGGGTGGGGCAGGCCTTGAGCCCGGGAAGAGGCAGCGTGAGCAGGTGTGCTCACGTGCATGTGGCTATGATCAGGCTTCCTCCCCGGGCGCTTCGGGACAGTGGTCAGGCGGCAGCCCATCCATCGGACAGTCAGTCTTTCCCAGGCTGTCTGTCTGCTGGGTAGCCGGTCAGTCAGCCTCAGCTCCTCAGTGGGGTCAGTCAGCTGTCCTGTCACTCTGCCTGGGTGTCGATGGCTCGTCAGCCCTGCCCTCAGCCCAAGAATCACTGAGGCCAATAGTAAATGATTTGTAGAAGCCAGTGGCAGACAGTGTCGGCCACTCTTTCAGTCACATGATGTGCCTGGGCCACCAGCCACCGTGCATTCCTTTGTCAGGTGGCCCATCAGTCTGTCCATGGTCAGTTGATCTGTCTATCGGTTGGCTCCAACAGGGCAGCCGGTCTACCTGCTGGTCATGCCGTGACTGTCAGTCAGTCAGCAGTTCCCAGGGGCCTGATGCTGACCCGACCCCAGGGGTAGCTGAGCTCTGCTTGAAGCCTGGACAGGGGTGACCTGTCCTCCTCCTTCCCCCGTGCCTCTGCCATCTGTCAGTCTGTCTATGTGTTCATGTGTCTCTCCTGGCCCCTCGCTGGGGCGGGCGTGTAGTCCCCATCTCCCTGGCTCCGTGGCTGCAGACGGACCATGTGCAGCCACTCATGGGCGCTGTGTTTGAGAAGCCCCTGCTGGGCCAGCTCAATGGTGAGCTCTGCCCTCTGCCACAGTGTGGCCCCTCTGGCCCCCTTCTGCCCCCCACGCCTGCTCCAGGCTTGGTCTCAGCCCCTTCCCACCTCCTAGGCCTGGAATCTAAGAGGGTGGCCTTGGGATTCCAGCTGCCTGTGCATTCATCTTGGCTCGGCTGTCTAGCAGCTGTGTGATCTTAGCTAAGTTCTGTCCCCTCCCTGAGCCTCAGTTTTCCCTTCTATAAAGTGGATATAATAATAACAGCTCCCACCTCCTGCGTATCTGTGGAACTTGGTGTCATGACGCACATGAGGACTTCAGCACATGGGCAGCTCCAGGTGGTACTTTGTTACCGCCTCCAGGGGGAACTTGATTTCTCCTTTCCCTCTTACAGCTCTCTTGGGCATGGGGGTTGCACTCCCCCACGTGGTCAACCTCCAGTACGTCACCCCTGAGATCTTTGTCTACGAAGTGAGAGCCTTTGGGTGTGACCAGAGGGGACTCCTCCATCTTTGGAGGGAGGCTGGGTTCCGGGAGGCGGGGGCATCACCTCTCTCCCTCCCTCCCTGCTAGTGCACTCAGTGGGGTCCAGGATCACCCAGTCCTGGGAGTGCCCCCTGCCCAGACCACACCATGAACCATCAACTGCAATGAGATGGAAAATTCCAGATGTCAAGAGACATCGGAGCAGGGGTTTCACCCACCCTTCAGTCCTCATCAAAATCACACCAGGCCACATTCGGAGGATTTGGACCTTCAGTGGTCCCATGACTCTGTGCCCTGGGATAGGCACGACCCCTGTGGTGTCTGGGGGAGGATGAGAGAGGGGGTTCTTCCAGCGTTGTACACAAACCTCCACAGGCCGGATGGTGGGAGAGGGATCCTGACTCTTCTAGAATGGATTTCCCTGGATCAGAAATTGTGGGCCCAGGGTGAAATTCAATCGCCACTGCCCAGGGTGAGATCCTACTTCTTTCTGTTTCACCTGAGATATAAAACGATAATATTCTTTCTAATTCATTCAGTAAGACATGCATGGGACACCAGACTCAGGAATGGAAAGAAGCAGCCTGCTCTGGAACCCCGGGGTGGACACTGGGTCTTGGGAGGTGGGGGTGGAGTCGGTGCCCCTCCCCCATGCTGGCCCAGAGCTCCTCTCTCCAGGCCCCATGGCCATCTCCATGCCAGGCCTGGGATGGGGTGAGTGGCAGAGGGACAGAAGACCCAGCAGCCTTAAGCTCCTTCCTTCTTTCCCTGGGCCTCAGTTGGGGTAGGCGGGGAAGCAGGGTGGATTCTGTGCCATTAGGGTGTGACCCTCGGAGAACCCTGGAGGGAGACCCCATATATGGGCTGAATGCCCTACCCCACCCCAAGTTCTGGGGGGCGGTGGCTGCCTTTGCAGTCCCCGTGCTTTCATTCCCACCCCGGGGCACTGACCCCAGCCAGTCCCCCCTTTTACTGTCCCCGCAGAAGGAAGGCTTAGCCCAGGCCCACAGGGAAAACCGCAATTTGCTTCTGACAGGACACACTAAGGGGTTTCTGGCGGCTGTGCCCCCTTTATGTCCCCAGAGCCATCGTGGGCGTATAAGAGATGCCCCCAGGCCTGAGAGGGTGGAGGAGCCGACAGGAGGCTGGGAACGCCCACCCACTCCTCGTGGAGCTGCAGGAGCAGGTAAGGCAGCCTGCGGGAGCCCTGGCTTTATCCAGATTCTCAGTTGTTGATCCTGAGACCATCCTGCTGTCCCATCTGAATAATGGGCACTGAAAGAATTCTCCCTAGGAGAACACTGGGGGTACCTGGAGGGTGATGGGAGAAAAAGCCCATTTTGCAGATGGGAAAACTGGGGCTCAGAGAGGGGCAAAAGCAGGGATGTGTGGACTGAGGACAGAATTGTCCTAGGCTCAAGGAGGGGGGGGCGGGTTTCCATTTTTCTCTAAGCCACGGATTCTGACTGGTTTCTCATTGTGGTAATATTTCCTTCTGTAAGAGATTCGAGGTTACAGGGAACCCCTCTGGGACCAGTTCTGCTGAGATGGCTGCTAGTCCGTACAGAGCCCATATGTACCTCTGTGCAAATGAGGAAAAGGTGTCCTCTTGGGTAGACACAGCCTGCACCAGGGCAAACTATTGGCGAGTGAAGTAAGGCTGGATTTCCATCCATTCTTGCCCACTCAGCAGGCACCCCCTCCAGCACACAGCAGTGCATGGAGGCCCTAGACACAGTCCCTGCCCTCACAGAGCTCACAGAGATGGCTCATGAGGACACAAGCGCAATGCATGATCACAGATTGCCTTAAAGTAAATATTCTGCATGATGTTTAGTGACAGACGGGCTTCTGTGGACAAAGTAAAGGATGGAGGCCTTTCCAAGCAGTTGACATTTATTCAGAACCTGAAAGATGAGGAGATAGTCATGCAAAGAACCAGAGGAAGAGCCTCCCTAACAGAAAGAACAGCATGTGCAAAGGCCCTGAGGTGGAAGGAGCTTGTCATGGTTAAGACTAAGAAGGTCAAAGAGGCAGGCAGGGCCCTTGTGAGTAAGAGTAAGGAGCCTGAGTTTGATCCTGAGGGCAGTGGGGGACTGCTGAAGGGTTTAAGCAGGGGTCACATGAGGGGATAGATGGGTATGTGACTGGGTTGGCAGATATGGAACTTCATACAGAAAAATCCCATTCTATGAAACTAGTAAGTTAGCCCTGCTCTCACCTCCTATCTCGTTCCTTTCGACATCAATCCAGGATAGAGGCAGGGGAGGAGGAGAGAAACGGAACATGCTAAATCGAACTGCTGAATGTCTCCAATTAGCCGCACCTTCTGAAATGGCCTCTTGAGCCAATGGGAAAGCAGTCCAGGAAACAGAGCTCCCACCCTGCTGTCCCAGAAAGGAAGGTCCCTCTGTGGCTCTCCCTCAGAGACAGGTCCAGGGCCACTGGGGCCGCAGAGGATTGACTTTTAAGTCAAATGTGTTAGCCGCTGCTTGAATTGGATGGAGAGGGCTTTCCAGGGACTGAAGCTGGACTTGAGTTGTGCCACGTGGGCAGGAGGACCCCGGGTTGGTGAAGGGGCAGAGAGAGGATAACGTCTGGGCAAGAGGATGGCCTTAGGGTTCTTGCTTCCGCCCCCAGTAGGTGTGATGCCGACGATGTTGGGCGTGTGGTCTCTGCTTCTCCTCTGAGGTCTGGAGACTCCGTGCCAGGGGCTGCTTGAGACGGTGGGCATGCTTGCTCGGATTGACAAGGATGAACTCGGCAAAGGTGAGCCCGAGGTGTGCAGTGTGTGAGGGGTCCAGTTGCAGAGTAAACCACCCGAAAGATAGGCTCACGTGCTTATGCTTCAGGAACAGATGAGAACAGGTTTTGATTCCCGACTGCATAGAGTGTTCAGGGGGTTAAAGGTTTGCTTGCAGGTTCCAGTGGGTGATTAGTTCCCTCTCTTCTGAGAGGTGAACCGGGTGGGAGGGGCATGCAGGGCCTGTGTCTCCCTCAGGGACGGGGGCGGGGGCGGTTGAGGAGGTCCAGGGGAGGGTGCTGGTTGGGCCAACATCTCTGCCCCACGTTTCTGGGGTGGGGGAACTCCACTGGGCATTTGCTGCTCCAAGGCTCAACGGCCCAGGGTGACCATAGTTGTGAATAGCAAATGCTTCAGGGAGGCTACCCTGGCCTGCTGCAACCTCCACGAGGCGGTCCCTTCCATCTTGCCCTTCTCACAATCCGCACAGAGTCAGACCAAGGGTGCCCAGGAGGGGCAGAGGTCGCCTCCTCCCTCTTGATCGTTCCCTGGTGGCTGAGTGCTCCCTTCTTTACTTCTGCCCCAACTTTCGGTGCTACCGGGTGACCCAGGGTCAGGAGCCCTAGTCATACTCTTGGTCCCAAACCCAACTTGCTGTGTGACTTTGGGCAAATCTCTGCCCCTCTCTGGGCCCTAGCTTCCTCATCTGTAAAAAGAACCTTCCTCCCCACCACCCTGTTTGCAGACATCCAGAACTCGCTGGTCAGGGGGCTCATTTTGCAGAACATGCTGGGGACTGTCATATCTGTGAACTAGGGCCTCCTGGGCTCAGGGGGCCTGCTTGGAGGAGGTGGTCTGCTGAGCTATGGAGGGGTTCTTGGCATTGTCAAGGAGCTTTCTGGGTGAGTCCTTACAGTGTGGCCGCTTGGCCACCTACCTACTGTGTGCCCTACAGGAAGTCTGATCTTTTCTTTGCTTCAGGGAATAGAGAAGATGTTGACTCTTTTTAATTTGTTGGCAGGCAGTGGGAATTTCATGGGGAGCCTGGACAGGGAGTCCCAAGAACCAGAGTCAGAAAATAAAGAGTCTACTGCGTGCCAGGCAGCATGCCCCTGTGGTTGAGGGTTCCAGCTCTGGGGTCAATTTCACTTACTCACTGTGTGACCTGGGGCAAGTTGCTCAGTCTCTCTGGGCTAATCCAAGTTGCTGTCTCTGGGTTAATCCAGGTAACTGCATGGCTCCCTCCCTCCTCCTCTTCAGGTGTCTGCTCCAAAGACCCCTGCCCTGACCAGCCTCTCCTTGTCCCCTTGCCTGCCTTCATGTTCTATAGGGAATGAATCACCCCCCGTACCCCATATATTTCACTTTTTTTTTTTCTTATCTCCCTTGCTAGATTATAAACCCTAGGAGGGCTAGGACTTTTGTCTGGCTTGTTCACTGCTGTGTCCCCAGTATCATAAATAGTGCTTGACACATAACAGATGCTCAAAAAATATTTTTGAATGAATGAATGAAATCACTTAAGAGCTAATATTTATAACTTAATGACCACTTAGACAGGTTTTTCTGGGTGCCTGGCACTGTGCTAAGCATTGTGAGTATATTATCCAATGAATCCAAAGGTAGGAATGTTACCAACTGCACTTAATAGGTGAGACGATCGACGTCCCCACAAGCAGTGAAGGGACTTGCCTGAACTCACCCAGCTAGGGAGTGCAGTAGCGGGGCAGGGCGGGGGCGGTGTCTGGGTGTTTAATCACCGCCATACCTACTCCCAGGTAGGTAGGAACGAGTCCACGGCTGGTGGTGGATCAGGGGATGGCCAAACAACAGGCCTCAAGAAAGGCTGAAGGCCAGGAGAGGGGTATGGGGAAGTGTCACTGTACAGGAGGAAATGGAGTGCTGGGAGCAGAAGGGGAATGGATGCCCACCTCCCAAAACAGTAAACAGATGTCTGGAAAGGGAGCTGGTAAGGACTGACTGCTCAAGGATCACTAAGTGCCAATCTGTCGCAGGTATTGTCATTATCCCTATTTTACACCCAGGGAAACTGAGGCACAGAGCAGCAATGTGACTTGCCCAAGGTCACCCAGTCAATTAGTGGTAGAGCTGGGACTTGAACCATCTGGCTTTTACTGGCTGCGCCATGAGCAAACTACTCATGGGGTTGTTGCCAGGACAGTGAATCTGCATCAGGCTGAAACAGAGCCTGGCACATAATAAATGCTCCATAAATATTAACTATTATTATTATCATTATTAATAGATCTAGTCCCCCTTCCACTGTAGAATCCCCTCTACTTGGTGAGGCTGGGGCCTCAGACATGAACCACTGCCCTAGCTTCAAAGAGCCCCCAGTATGAGGTCAGACCCAGCAGTCATGATTCTGTAAGCTCAGGGCAGTGATAGAGGCAGTCCAGGCAGGGTGTGGGAGCTGCTCAGAGGAGCGTATTTGCCTGAGTCAGAGAAGCAGTAAGGAGGGCTTCCTGGAGGAGGAGATACCCTAGCTGAAATCAGGAGAGCTGGAGGAGTCACCTAGCTGACAGTGGATGCAGAGTGGCAGGAAAATTAAGGAAAGGGTATTCCAGACTGAGGGAACAGCCTGGGCAAAGGCCCAGTGGACAGAGAAAAAAATGAACTGTGGGGAGCTGTGTTTGAGAACACCCTTGGGTTGTGTGTGTGAGAGCCTAAGAGATGGGAGTGGAAGGACAATGACCCAGGCCAGAGACTGAACCAGGGCTGAGGCCATTGGGATGGGGTGGAGGGAGCACTTTAGCTCATTGAGCCTCCACTGAGGATGATGATATTACACTTCCAGAGCATATGCTTTACCAGCTGTGCGCCTACATTATCTAATTTGTCTCTGCAACATCCCTATGAAGTGGGAACTTGTATAACCCCACTTTACAGATGCAGAAACTGAGGTCCAGAGAGGTGAAGTAACTGGCTCAAGGGCCCACAGTTGGGTTTATGGGTTAGAGGTGGGACAGGGGACACACCCAAGAGAGGCTCCAGGCTCTGCCTGGTCTGGGATGGTCCAGGCACTGAGGGACTGGCCCTGGGGCGGGGGGCGGGTGGGGGGGTTGTCTGGTGGTCAGTGGCCCTCTCCTCCATGAAGGCTGAAGACTGAGGAAATCACACTGCCGAAGGTGTCTCTGAAGCTGCTGCCGGGGTTTGGGGTGCAGCTGAGCCTGCACACCAAGGTGGGCCTGCATAGCTCCGGGTGAGTGTGCCCCTGGGGACCCCCTACCTTATTGTCTCTCCACACCCACCCCCTGCCCCCCTATTTCCTCCTTCCTTCCTTCCCAAGAGACTCCCACTTTCCTATTCCCTCCCTGGATCCCACCCCACTACCCCTCCCCAGGGATCTCCATCCCACTGACGTCCAGAGACTTCCATCACTCTCTCTGGAGACCCCTACCCCAATGCCTGGAGCTCACTGGTGGGGGCGCAGGGACATGCAAAGGGGCAGGGAGGCAGGAGGTGAGAGGAGGGAATGGGGCTACCCAACCCGCCGCTCGTCAGAGCCCTGGTCAGCGGCCCCGGGGTGGGCGCGGCTAAGGCGGCCCTGGTGGGTGGCGCCTGGCCGCCTGGCCACGCCTCCAGCATCTGGTCTCGCAGCCCCCTGGGGGGCCTCTTGCAGCTGGCAGCTGAGGTGAACGTGTGGTCGCGGGTGGCGCTGGGCGTGAGCGCGCGGTGTACGCCCATCCTCATGCTCAAGCGCTGCAGCACGCTCCTGAGCCACATCAGCCTGCTCTCAGGGCGAGTCCGCGCTCTTGAGCCGGTGTTGGGCGGCTCCCCGCGCCCGGACCTCCTCGGGCTCATCGCGCGTGCGCGCACCGGGCGGAAGTCTCCTGGGTCTCCAGGGAGCGGCCGGCTGGGCGGGGCCTGTCTCACCAGATCAAGCCTCGGCGCAGACCTGCAGACTGGCAGGGACAGGGACTCTGGCCCAGCTCGCAGCTTGCAACGTCCACTTCTGAGCGTCCCCCTTCTCCAGCCCCTGAGATCCTGCCTCCCTTCTTCCAGGTAGAATAAGGGCCCGCTGTGGTCCCTTGACCTGTAGGCATTTCAGTCCCTGCTGTTGGCATATACGAGACCCAGCTCAGCCCCTGACTTGCTGTGTGACCCTCCAGGGGAACCCCTTCCCCTGTTTGGGCTTCAGCGTCCCCATCTGTATAATGAGGACCTAAATTTAATGATCTGGAAGGCTCTGGCGCTTTTATATCCATCTTTTCCCCCAGCTGTCAGGACACAGTGATCCTTCTTGCATGGGACAGCTGAGGCCCACAGAGGGCAAGGGACTTGCCCAAGGTCACACACACAGCGTGAGGCAAGCACAGAGATGGGCTGGTCTCTGGACTCAGGTCCAAGGCTTTCTCACAGCACTCTGCATCCCCCGGCCCCCCCCGCCCCCCCACCAGCGACACCTGCCGCCTCCCCTGCCTCACACGTTGAGTCAACCCCTGTTAGTCTCTCTGTTCCAGGCTAAATCCCACACCCACACCCCACCTTTGCTGGGTGGCCCTGACCAGTGATGGGTTATCGGACAGCTCTGTGTTAGCTCCCAGGAACAGGGTGAACCGGGGTTGGCCCTGTCTGCAGAAGGGTTTTAGTAAGGGGTTTCCAGGCAGGGTCTTGGGCTCCTTAAACCCCAGTGGCTCCATCCTGTTCCTCTGCGCTAGAGGGGGCTTGGAGGGGGTGGAGCTCAGGAGGGTGTCCTGTGGTTGTGGTTCTGTGATTTTCACCCCTCCCTCTGTACCCCCATACTCTCCAAACAGACCTAAGCCCATCTATCGATACATGCACATCCTCAGGCCACCCTCTCAGGCATTCATTCATTTGACAAATACTCATTTATTCAACAAATACTTATTGAACCCTCACTCTAAGCCAGGTGTTGTTTTAGGCCCAAATGTCACTCATCTACACATATTGAAGACGAAGGGAACAGACAATTACTGAGCACCAGACATGTATACACTCCCATTTGATCTCAACAGCAACAGCTCTCTCTAAGGCAGGCACTGTACGGATGGGGAAACTGAAATCCTCCTCTGGGTCCCATGGTGAAGCAAAGCCAAGATTTAGACCCAGCTGCCCAAAGCCCCAGCAGAGCCCACAAGGAGAGGAGATGGGTGATGTCCAGAACCGCCAGTGCCCACCCTGCCCCGTCATCTGGGTTGGCGCTGTCCCTGCGTGGTGGCCACACCTTCATGCATCTCACTCTGCCCAGGCTGCTGCCCGCACCGCTCTTTGGGGTCGTGGAACAGACACACTTCAAGGTGCTGCCAGAATTCGAGAGTGTGAGGGCTGCAGGCCAGGTACACTCTGGGCTGTGCCCCTCCTCCCCCGGCTTTGAGTTAATCTGGGCGCCAGGCAGGATTAGGCTGTTCTTTCCTTCCACGCCCATCAGGTAATCCCATCCTAGCCTGCCCACAGGCCTCCCAGGTGCTGCCTGCGAGTCTGTAGGTGGGCTGGCACGATCTGTCCCCAGACCTCTGAATCCAGGTGACCTGAGTCCCCTGCTCCCAAATCCAAGTAAGTCCCTTTCTTACCCCCTGCTCTGTCTTTGCCACCTGTATTATTATTATTGACTTTATACTTTTCTTTAAACTAGGTTTGAATTAAAAAATTGGGTCACTCAATGATTTTAAACGAAGCCCTGTGCTTGGCAAACATGTCTAGAAGATCACATACAGTACATGTTAAACACATTATGATTAAACTGCGCCAGGATGCTTGTCCATGGCCTGCCCCCGTCGTCCCTTGAACCACACTTAAGAAAAGCTGGTCTGGCCAAAGCCCCAATTCACTGAGGACAGAGAGGGGAGGGCTTGTTGGGGTCACACAGCCAGCAAAGAGCAGTCAGGCCTCCTGATTCCCGGTCCTGGCAGGACCTCTGCTGTGAGTCCTTGTTAAGAACACCCATGGAGGGGCTTCCCTGGTGGCGCAGTGGTTGAGAGTCCGCCTGCCGATGCAGGGGACACGGGTTTATGCCCCAGTCCGGGAAGATCCCACATGCCGCGGAGCAGCTGGGCCCGTGAGCCATGGCCACTGAGCCTGTGCGTCTGGAGCCTGTGCTCCGCAACGGGGGAGGCCACAACAGTGAGAGGCCCGCGTACTGCAAAAAAAAAAAGAAAAAAAAAAGCCCCAGCCGAGCCAGACAGGTCACTTCTCTTCTCCGGCCCCAGCTGTAGAATGAAGGGGCTGAAGGAGTGAAGGGGCTGGGCTGGACCACGTCTGGGATTCCTGCTCTGGCGGACTCAGATTCTGTGATTCCCAGACTTGGAATTCTGGAAGCCGGACCACTTGTTCCCTGATGTCACAGCCCAGGGTTTTTTTAGGAAACCCAGGGTGGTGTGCACAGTGGATGCCCTGGGCCAGCCCTGATTCCAGGTGGAGGGGAGGAGGCACCCCTCTGTGGGATCTGGATTGTAGGTCTCCCAGTGCCCACATGGATGGCAGGAGGGACCTGAGACCTTGTTTCCTTGGGGGAGGGCCTTGTCCCTACACCCCAGCTAGCCTCTGGAATGTGTCTTCTTGTCCCCCCAGCATCCTCCAAGGTTTTCTGAGGGGACTCATGTAACTGGCCCTCTGCACCACCCACTCCGCCCTCTGACACTTCAAGGTCCAGCCCCTCCCCTGCCTCCCATCTGTGTGTCTCACCATCCATCTCCATCGTCTGCCTTACCTCAGTCTCTGGGACCAAATAGCAAATCATTTAAAGAAAATGAAGCTGTTCCCTGTGCCAGGCTGGGGCCCGCTGTTACTCTCCTGTCTCCTCCGGACACAGCTGTGCCCCGTGGTGGGCAGCGTGCTGGGCGTGGTGAATGAGCTCCTGGGGGCTGTGCTGTCCTCCTCTCTGCACCTGCTCTTATGTCTCCCCCACCCTTACCCCAGCGGGTGGGGTATCAGGGAAGAGGACGGGGCAGAATTCTGGGACCTTTCATGCCTTCCTCAGACTGACGAGGCCGCTACATTGAGGAGGCCTAATGGTGGTGTTCTGGGCTGAGGTCAGTTCCCCAGGGTAAGGAGACCCGGAGCCATCCAGGTCTCTATCTGCCGGGGGCTTCAGGCCACTTACTGAGCACCGGCAGTGTGCCTGGCACTGTCAGAAGCATGAGGCAGATACTGTTATTATCTGGGCAGACAAGACGACTGAGGCCCAGAGCTTACATAAGGAACCCAAGGCCCCGCGGCCACAGGGGCCCCCAGCCTCTCTGAGGCTTGTGGAGACATGGATGCCTTGCGTATTCACAAAAGGGCCTTGAAAAGTATAAAAATGCATAACTAGGATAAAGATAGAAAACTTGGGGGCAGATATGTCTCTGAATGTGGTATTATATGAGAGAGACAGGGCAACAATGTGGTTAGTGGCACCAGCTCTGGAAAACAGGAACCCTGGCTTTGCTACTCTGTGGCTTGTGTGGGCTGGGGCTGGTGACTTCCTCTGTTGGAGCCTCAGTTTCCATATCTGTAGAATGGGGATGACAGTAGTGCCCTGGTGAATGCTTAGTAGAGTTTTAGGCATTCAGCAGGCACTCAATAAATAGAAGTAGAGCCTGTTATTACTGGGGCCTGGGCTCATGGGGTCTTTCTCCTTCCTCCCCTCCTCATGCAGGCCTGGTGCCCCTCGGGGCTCTTGGGTCTGTGGAATTCACTCTGGCCACATTGCCTCTCATCTCCACCCAGTACGTAGAGCTGGATGTCAATGTGAGTGCCCGCTGAGGCCCCGCCCACAGCTGGGGGTGGGTGGGGTACAAGTGGAGGCCAGGCAGGGGATGCTAAATCAAAGCCAGGTGAGTGAGCTTCCCTGAGACCCTGGCACGCATTGTCTCCTGCCCCTGCAGCCCATTGTGAAGAGCGTAGCAGGTGACATCATCGACTTCCCCAAGCCCCCCAACCCCATCAAGGTGCCCCCCAAGGAGGACCACACATCCCAGGTGACTGTGCCTCTCTACCTTTTTAACACTGTGTTTGGGCTCCTGCAGACCACTGGTGCCCTTGACCTGGACATCACCCTTGAGCTGGTGAGTATGGCACCCTGCCCTGCTGGACCTTGGCAATGCTAGCGGTGACCTAGTCACATCATCACTGATCAGCTTTGACGAGCCCTCTTCTTATAATAGGAGAGAGTTGGACAGGTTTATAGCATGCACATGCCCACTCTTGTCCTTCAGGCCGACACTGCTAATTGATAATGGCCTCTACTTGGCTAAACCTGAATGGGATTTCCAAATCCTTCTCAACATGACACTCAGGACGTTACTTTGTATTGGTCAAAATTGGCATATGAATTGTAGCCAGCTTCCCATCCCTGCACCAGATGAGCCCTTCTAGAGTCAAAACCCAATTTTACACTGAAGTGTGAATGGCTAACATTCCCATTGCTTTCTCAAGAGCACATTTGAGTTGGAGAGAAGAAGACTAGGGTTGGACTATACCAAAGGTCACTTGGACATTTGTTTTGAAGCTTCTGAGACCTCTCTGTTTCCATTCTGGCCCCTCTCACACCCTCACAGATGTCTGGAAGCCCCAGCCCCCGGAAGCCTTAGCCAGAGACATTTTCTTGGTCTCAGCCCTGTCCAAAGGCAGGGAGCTCTGAGCTACCTGGGCTCCTACATGCAGCTCAGCCCAAGGGAGTAGGGATTGATTACTCACTTCCTGCAGGTGGGGTCCAGAGAGCACACTGAAGGCCTATGGGGTGGTTGGAACAGGGTCCTGAGCTGGGAGGCAGGTGTGACTAGATTTTCCAATTTTTTAGCTAGAAACTGCGAATTTATATGAAATGTCCTGGTGTGTAAATAGTGGAAACAAATTTATAGTATTTGAAAATACTTGGGGGGTAAAAGGCAAAAATGTCTGGGGTCAGATCCCTGGGCCTTCAGATTATGTGCTCTGGCAGAGCAGTTTAGAAGTTCTAGAATTAGCCTGCCTGGGTCAAAACCTGGTGCCACCATTTACCAGCTTATGATCCTGGACAGAAGCCTCAGGTTTCCCATCTGTAAAATGGGAATAATCGTAGCACCCACCTCCTCGAGCAGTTATAAAGATGAAATGAGCGAAGGCACACAAAACCCTTAGCATGTGTCTGGCATGTAGTAAGCACTCATCATTGGTCAATAGAAGGAACATGAGTGTCTTTAGAGAGGTATGTATAAAATTGGGTAGGGGGAAACTACTTTGTGTGTGCTGAGGGATCCCTATTTGGCTCTGTGTTTACCGCCCCCCATCCCATTTGGTCTTGGGTCCAGGTTTCCAGCTATGTTCCACTGACAACTACAGAGCTGGCAGCTTTGGTCCCTGAGGTGAGTGACCCTTTTGTGGGCTTTGTTCACTGTAGCTCTTTCCTGATGACCCTGAGTGGACTCCAGAATCTTTCCCAATACAGCTCTCCAGACAGCTGCAATTGAATGTTGAGTCCAAATTCATACTAAAGTGTGATTGACTAACACCATATCCTTTCCTGATAGCAGATTTTGCTTAGAGAAGAAAGGACCAGCGTCTAACTACCCCAGAAGTCAACTGGGCATTTTTCCTGGGGCTGTTGCTCCTATGTCAAGCAGATTCTTTCCGAGTGATTGAGCCCCCTCCCTCCAACTGCCTTGCTTCATCTTGGTCTCAGCCTTCTTGTCCTCAGAGAGAAGACTCAGGGCAGTGGCCATGGAGATGAAAGAGAAGAGGGAAGATTCAGGGGAGATTTGACTAGTGGGCATCAGTCAGTACGTGGCTGCAGGGCCTGGTCCTCAGCTTTCCCATCCCTCCAACTGGGGCTGAATCAGCTTCTTTCCAGCTGTGGGAATCTGAATTATACTGAAGTTGAAATGACTGCTACAGGGTCTTTACGTAACGGCAGATTCTGACAGAGGTTAGAAAGAGACCCACAAGGCCTGGGTTTCCACCAGAGAAGATGGAGAGGGCAGCTGAATTTGGGGACACAGACAAACTCTGTGAGTCCTTGAAGGTGGTGATAGAAAGCAGATCTGGTGGGCCTGAGTGGGGCCTCTGCTTATTGGTGTTTTGGGCTAAAGGGCATAGGTGTCTCAGGCAAAGCCTGAGATTGGGGCTAGACATTCAGAAGAACCTCATTCTTCTGAGGAGTTGTAAGATGGTGGAAAGGGACTTGGGGGAGGCCAGGGTGGCAGGACCAGGGACCCATGGATGCAATAGGCATGCCATGTCTCTTAGCCTGGGGAGGCTGGGCTTGTCTCTGGAGCCTGAAGCCTTTGTTCTCATAGCATCAGAGCCCTGTGTGTGGCCCCAGTCCTGAGTTTGGTTCCATAGCTTCAGAATCTGTGGATATAGGAGGCTGGAATCCGGTGATTCCTCCTGTCTTTATGATACTGCAACTCTGGGAGTTGGGGCTTGAGGAATTGGTCACCAGATCCCAGCATTCAAGTGATTCTAACCTTCTGTGGATGCATGGTTTCCAGCATTTCTGTAATCCACGATGTCGTGATTATGAGATTCAGCATTTCCTGATTGTGTGATTCATTCAGTCAACTAATATTCACTGAGCACCTACTATGTACCAGGCCCTGTGCTAGGTGCTGGGCATGCAGAAGGGGCAAACGGTGAAAAGTAGACAAAAGTCTCCGTGTTCAAGGAGATGCCATTGTTGTGGGAGGGACAGACATTGAACAAATAAGTAAGTAGAATATACACAGTGTCAGAAAGAGGAGGGTGCTCTGCAAAGCCCTCATTGAGGAGGCAACGTGTGAGCTGAAGGCTGAAGGAGAGGATGGAGGGAACCATGCAGGTGTCTGGGGAAGACATTTCTGGCAGAAGGAGCAGCAAGTGCAAAGGCCCTGAGGTGGGAGCATGCCTGGCTAGATGGAGGAACAGCGAAGTGGTCAGTGAGTCTGGAGAGGAGAGAATGAGGGGCCAGTGGTGGGAGGTGAGTTAGGAGGGCAGAGGATGGATGATGTAGGGAGTGTAGGCATCGGGGATATTTTTTGTTTTGTTTTTTATGTTGTGTAATAAAGTGTGTCCTAGGGGGAGGATTTTGACTCTGCTTGGTTGTTCTGTGAATTGGTATCTCCGCACCTGAGTGTCAGCCTCGTGGGGGCCAAGACCAGGCCTGTCTGGTTCAGGCTGTTACCTCAGCTCCCAGCACGGTGCCTGGGGCCCACTAGGTGCTCAATGAGTGTTTTTTGACTGACTAACTGATTCTATTAGTGGAGCACCTAAGCTGCCCCTGCTTCTCTCCTCGTGCCCCCTACTCTGCCCCCGACTCTGCCCCTGCTTCTCTCCAGGCCCTGAGGAAGCTGCCACCAGGCCAGCAGCTCCTGCTCTCACTGCAGGTGAAAGAAGCTCCCACAGTCACGCTCCAGGGCAAGAAGGCCACGGTCTCCATCCCAGCTAACATCCATGTGCTGTCCTACCTCCCTAAAGGGACCTACGAAGCCTTCTTCCAGCTGAGCGGAGTGAGCATCTGAGGGGAGGGAGCCGGCACTGGGGTCCTGAGTAGGGCTGACCCTCTCCAGGCTGTGGATCTCAGGTTGGGAGGCCCCACGTGGCACAGCACAGGAAACCCCGCCCCCAATGTCATCACCTGAGCTGAGACCCCAGTGCCCTTGGACTCCCACCTGCTCCCTCATCACACATGTGTCCACTCTGCTTCCTCAGGATCTCAGGAATTGCCCCCACCTCCCCAGCCTCTCTGTGCTCAGATATCTCTTGGATGACCCTCCAGCTCCCTCCTGGCCCCCACCTCCAATCTGCTCCCCTCTACCCCACCGCTACTAGTCTTCCCAGCCGTACATCCGGGCAGTGGCAGGTCCTTCCCCTGCTCACTCTCTGCCCTGGCTCTGCACGGCCAAACACCATTCCATCCCCAGCCCCTTGCCTCATCCTTGTGCCTTTCCCAGCCTTGCGCCCTAAGCCAGTTACTCAGGGCTACCAGGTCGCACCACCCTGCCTTTGTTTGTACAGGGACCACCACCTGGAGGGCAGTTTCTCCCCTTCCCTTGGCTAACTCCTCATCTTCCAAGATTCAGCTCAGGAGTCCCCTCACGGGGGATGCCTTCCCTCACCCACTGCAGGCTGGATTGAGGATCTGTCCAAGCTCCTGCAGCCCTAGAGCTGCCTCGCATCCAACACCGATTGCCCTCAGCACCCCAGTTCTTGAGCGCCAGAACCTTCAAGTTACCTCCTCATAGCCTAGCATGGACCCTAACACACAGTAGGGCCTCAGCAAGAGGTAGTGGAGGAAATGGATGGTGGAAATTCACCTGTCGGCCAAGGCAGACCTGTCCTCAAGTTTCTTCTGCCAAATTCAGTGTAATCTCTGCCTGCTGTTCCCATGCAGGTGATGACTTTAAATGCCCAGCTGGCTCCGTCAGCTACCAAGCTGCACCTTTCCCTGTCCCTGGAACGGTAATGTGGAATCCTGGGCCTTGGCTTTATGAACAAGAATTAGGGACTGACAGAAACCCTCTCTTATTTATTGAGCAGCAACTAAATTGCAAGTGTTTTACCAGCATCTTCCTTGCCTCTGGGACCTCCTGGGAAGGGGTGGTATTAGCCCATTGTACAGATGAGGCAACTGGGGCCCAGAGAATTGGCTCTAGAGTGGGCATCTTCCACTGCATCTGCTCAAAAGCTGGCCCTGGAGATAAACCTGCTTTGGGGTATGGAGTCTAGACTCCTGAGTTATCAGCCCTAGAGGCTGGCCATGGAGGTAACTGTCCTTGAATGTTGTCAAATGCTTTGTTATTCATGTGGACTAGCTATTTCTCTAGTGTCTCCACCCCTGTGGTAACTAGGCCTCATGATTATCATAATGACCAAGATGGTGATGTTGATGACAATCTTTCCTTACATGTGCATGGCACAAAGCCCAGGCTCGCACAGCGGGTTGTCTCTGGAAGCAGGTCCACAGTCTGGGCCTTCATTCTCCGGGCCCAGTGCTCTCACCTTGGCCTGGGGCCTGGGGTCTCTCTGTCCCTCCCCTGGATGCAGGGGTTTTCCCAGGGGACTCTGGGATCAAACTGTCCTGGGCCATAGGTACCCGGTGCTCACCTGACCCCTGCCGGCCCCTCAGGCTACTACTACCCCCCTGCAAGTCACCACCACCGCCCCATTTGTAAGCTTGACAAAAGGCCTCACCAACTGCCAGGGTTCGTCTCCCTTTCCTGGTGGCAGTTGAAGCCTCAGCCCTTCAGGAGACATAGATGTGTGTCCGGGCTCTGGCCCTGGACCTGCATTTGAGCCAGCTGTGATCCGTTGGTAGTTTATTGCCTTTAGTGAGCAGCTGCTGGGTGCAGGGCACTCTGTGTCCAAGGCTCAGTCTATGGGAGGGCCACTCCTTAGAGAGGTTCAGTCGAACCACTGGGATTCAGACCAAGGCTCCAGGGCCACGGAGTCAGAGGTGGCAGTCATGATATCTCAGAAGGAGGTTAGCTCCCTCCAGGCCCATTTTACAGGTAGGAAAACTGAGTCTCTGAGTCAAGGCTGGATAGAGGCAGAGTTGGCCCTGTAACCCTGCTTCCTCCTGGAGAGCTAGGGGTGGGGCAGACTGGGGGTGTGGTGGGTGCTGGGGCCCCTCAACATCTCTCTTCTGTCCACCAGGCTCAGTGTCAAGCTGGCCTTCTCCTTGATGCAAGTTCCTGGGAGGGTGAGCAGCTTGGCATTGGTGAGGGTCTATAGGTGGGGGTGAAAAGGAGGCAGGATGAGTCATGGGCCATATGACTGAGCTGGCCCCAGTCTGGGCTCTGCGCCAATAAGCCAGAGTGGGCAAACATCCAGGCAGGTGTGTGTGCGTGTGGGGCGGGGGGCGGTGTGGACGCGCATACGCACGTATAATATAGTCATTGTCTTAGGAAAGTGAATCTCATGATCTTCCGAAGTCTTGGAACCTCACAAAGTTGTAAATGTGTAGAACCTCACTAGGGTTCAGAATTCTGGAATTTCACACAGTAATAAGGTTCCTAAACTCAAAAAGTTCTAACATTTCAGAGGCCCACAGAGCCCTTAGTTTCCTGCTTCTCAGAGGCCTGAGATTCTAGAATTTCACGATGGTCTCAGGTTCTAGGTCATTTTAAGTGTTTCTAAACTCACAGGAATCTAAGATCAGACCACACAGAGTTACTGGCGCTGGGCACATTTCCTCCCTCTTTCTCAAGACACAGGCCCCACAGACCCTTCCTCCAGCAGAACAGCTCTTCCAAGCTCATGGGGCCCAGGGTGAACCCTGCCTAAATCACAGAATCCCCTTTGGGGTCACTGATGGACAGCCCACCCCAGCGGGCCCTGTGCCCACCAGGAGCTATGTCCTCAGGCATGGGGGTGGGGAGGCTGGGGAAGCTGGACCTCTGGATTTTTCTCCCTGGGGAAGGGTTGCACAGATCCCTGCAAAGCCATACCTCCCAGCCCTCTGTGTGCTCTGTTGCAGGTGACCCATTTAGAAGAATGGCTCAGTGATATGGTCCGGATAGCTTACATGCCAAAGCTCAATGGTAAGGGCGGCCTTCACTGTCTTCTTGGACACATGGAGTGTCTGAACTCCGGATTGCCAAATCCATTGCCTCTCTCCATTGTTATTTAAAAAAATTTTTTTTATTGAACTATAGTTAATTTACAATGTTGTGTTAGTTTCAAGTGTACAGCAAAGTGATTCGGTTATTATCCATTGTTCTTAATAGAGACACTGAGGCTGGAGAGCTGTTGATCTCCATTTCTAAGATGCAGAAACCAAGATTGTTGCCATTCAGACAACATTGATTAGCTCCTACATCATGCCAGACTCCGGGCCTCAAGAGCTTGTGTTCAAGCTCACAATCCAGAGTGAAATAGTCATGTAAACAAATGAGTAGAATATAGATGACCCAGAGTGTGCAAGGGACTGACAGAACCTCAAGGAGGTTCTATTGAAGGGACCCCTTAAGATGATACAGAAAAGGGACATTTTCATTTGGGTTTAGTAGGATGAGTAGGAGTCTGCTAGTATGGGAACCTGAGTCTCCAAGAAGAGAACTGCCTAGCTCAAAGAAAGTTGTGGAATAGGGTCAGCAGGTCCCACCTGGGCTCCCCACATATCTTTGCTTTCAACCACACCCTCTTCACAGTGAACCTGGATGTTGGAATCCCCCTGCCTAAGGTTCTCAAAGTCAGTTTTGCCAATGTGGCCCTCGTGATCATAGAGGTGAGTTTCCCATGCGGGTGTGACCTAGATGGGCCTTAAGCTTGTCTCTGGAGAGCCCTGCTTGAAACTCATGAGGGGACTGCTCTGCCTCATCAGCTGGTCTGTCCCTGCACCATTTTCTAAGTTGCTCAGGGATTATAAATTACCTAACTTGGGAATGGCAACTATATGATGTATGTGCTATCACTCCTTCCTTACTTGCCCATGGCAGACATTGTCAAGCAGTCACAGAGTTCTTTCCTGCTCAATTCAGACACAGGACTGGCCGATAGGGTGGAACCTCAGGTCTACTCACAGAATCACAGTTCCCCTGGTCCAAGGGTAGCAAGTACACATCCTGTCTCTCCCTTCTGCTGTGCCCATGGCAGGCGTGGCTAATAGATCATGACATTTTTTTCTTACTGAATATTGACATGGCCTCACAATCCTTTTCAATCCAGCACAGCTTTGAGTCTCGGTACAGCTCTGGGAGGTGGGCAGATCAGGGAATTCTTCGCCCATTTCCCAGATGAGGACCGAGGCTGAAGGAGGCCAGATTTCTGGCCCAAGGTCACACAATAAATTAGCAGGAGAAATGGCACTTGAACTTATGTCTCTTAAGTCCTAAAGTCAGTGACCTCTCCCACACTGAATGTCATTTATTCATCGTTCATTCATTCACTTAATAAGTGCCAGCTGTGTCCCAAGTACAGCGCTAACCCCAGGACATGGGGTGGGGGGCACACAGAGATGGCTGCAGGGATGGGGGTGTGTGGTGGCAGTGTTGGGCACAAGGACTCAGAGGGCCTAACCTTGAGCCATTGCCGCTTGCAGAATGCCATTGTGCTGACCGTGGCATCCTAAGGCTGACAGATGGCCACCATCCCTCCCTGTTGACTGCCAGAGTCCTGTCCATCTGCCCGCTCTGCCTCAATTTCCCTCCCAGGCTCCAGCCTGTGTCGGTGACAGTATAAGTGCCCTTTATCCACGCAGGCTCACCCATGTGCTCTGGGCCCTGCAGCTCTGCCCCCGGTCTTGGGTGGGGACTGCAGGGTTAGCCACAGCACTCTGCTTTGAAGAACGCTCTGGGGCCTCCTTGGCAAGTCCTGAGCTCTCAGTAAATGACTCCTCTATCTCAGCACCTCCCGGCTGTTTTTTTCTCCAGTCACACAGGGGCTGCCTTGGCCTCTGCCTCTGGTGCCCTCCCCAGCTCCAGGCAGGGCTCCTGGGAGGCAATGGGACTTGGGGCCTAGTCATTGTAGCTTCACATCCCAAACTTTGCTGGTTGGCCCGGGCAGCCTCTGTGTCTTGTCCTGCCTTCCTCTGCCTCTGCGTCGGGCTCCCTGTGTCCCTTCCCCTCCCCGCCTCTCCCTCTCCTTTCTCTATTTTTCTAAATACCTCCATCTTTCACTCTGTCTCTCTGAGTCTGTGTCTCTCTGTCTCTGTCTCTCCGACTTTGGGACGTATCTCAGAAGTGATGTCTGAGCTGAATTTTGAAGGGTAAGAGTTTTCCAGGGAGAAAAGGAGCCAGCATTCCGAAGCAAAGATGAGTGAGACTCAGTGTTGCCCGGGAGGGATCACTACTGGCTACACATCTGCTGTTGACACACCTCAGGATAGACCTCAGGACAAAGCTACACTGAAAAAAGCTACACTGTGCGGGCAGGGAAACTGACACCAGAGAGGAGCCTGGCTGGCCCAAGGCCTCACAGTAGCAGAGCTGGGATGGGAAACTGGGGGTCCTGCATCTCTCTCCTGGGCTCCTCTCTGCTGCTCAGGATGGGCCTCCTTGGTTCTGGGGAATGGCCGCAAGTTGGTACTTATGAGTGGGCCTGAGTGAAAAGGTGCCAGTTAAGTTTTGGGAACTGGATCAGAGGATTTGAGGGGGGTGCAGAGAAGAGTTGGAACCCATCTAGATGTTTACCCACCAGTAGGAATGACCGTCCTCCCATCCATCCATCCATCCATCCATCCATCCATTCATCCACCCACCTACCCACTCATCCTTCCATCTACCCATCCATCCATTCACATACCCATTCATCCATCCATCCATCCACCTTCTACCCTTTCTTCCTACCCCTGTCCCTTCTTTCCTCCTTCCCTCCCATCCACCCACCTACAATTACTGGCACCTACTACATGCCAGGCCTAGTGCCGAGTGACATGTTGGGATTTATCTTTGACTCCTTTCTCATCTCCAGTGTCTCCTGACTCCCATCCAAAACAATGCAGTGATTAAATGAGTAGCTTGTGTTAGCTGCCTGTGTTCAGACCCCATCCCAGCTGCCATGTGGCCTCAGGCAAGTCATTTAATCTCACTGACTTTCGACTTCTTCCTCAGTAACTTGGGGATGATAGTGATATGGTTTTGAGGGTTAACCAGCACTCAGGATGGTGACTCACCCATCAGAAGCCCTCAGTGCCTTTAGCCCGTGTTACTGCTGTATTATTCTCCCTCCTCATCCTGCCTTCACCTGTTCTGCCTCTCCACCCAAACCCCAGCACACCCTCCTCCTCTCTCACGAGGACCGCACCTGCCCGCCCTGTCCTCACGCACTCCTCTCTTCCATCCTGTCCTCCTTCAGCTCATTCTTGACCTCATCTGACCATCTGTCAGCTCAGCTGACAGACCTTCCATGGCTGGATTCTCACGGCCAACAGGAAATCATCCAAACTCCCAGGTTTGGCATTCAAGGCTGCCTAGACGTGGCCTCAGCTGATCCCCTTGGAGCATGAAGAGGGAGCAGAGCTATCTCTGTGCCTCAGGCTCCTCATCTGCGAAATGGGAATCCCGTAGGACTCACTCATAGGTCGTTAGAGGATGAAATGAGACAGTCATTGTAGAGTACTGAGAAGAGTGCCTCCAGCCTCACGTGCCCTAGGCAGGGTCTATTATTGTGTTCACACTGGATTGTCACTGCCTCACCCTGTTTTCCACTTGACCAAGAGCACCTCAAGGTCAGGGAGGGTCTTTGTCGTGGCGGGTCCTGTGGCTGCACACACACAGTAGCAGTGAGAGCAGCTAACCTCTACTGAGCACTTACTGTATACCGGACATTGTGTTAGATGCTTAACATCCCTTTGCTCAGTTTATTATCATAGTGACCATAATCATTGGGTATTATCACCCTATATTACATATGAGGAAACAGGCTCAGAGAAATGGAATTGGACAGCTTCTAAGTGGCAAAACCAGGATTTGAACCAGGTCCTTCTTACCCGTACTCCAAAGCCTGGGCTTTTCACGGCTATGCTATAAAAGTAATACTTGCTGTGTTTATTTTATGCTTACTAAGAGCCAGAAACTGTTCTAAGGGCTTTAGATACATATGTCATCAACTCCTTGAATCAACCCTTCTTTCTAGGAACTGTTTTTACCTTCATTCTAGAGTTGAGGAAACCTGAGGCACAGAGAGGTTAAGAGACTTGCCCAAGGCCACACAGCTAGGAAGTAATGAGGTTAGAACCTGAACCCAGGCCCTTGACTCCAGAGCCCAGGCTCTGAGCCTCCACACTTAGGGTGGGCAATGAAACCAGACGTGCAGGAAGCCCCCCGTTTGGCATCCCCCCTGCAGGCCTGGTGAGCTGACGGTTCATGAGGGGGACAAGTGCTGAGAGGAGGGGTTGGTAGTGGGGCTGGTTCTGTTTCCTGGTCTCCACAGCCTCCTGCATGAATCCCCCACAGCCTCCTGCATGAATCCCCCAGCCTCCTGCATGAATCCCCCCTGCTGCTGAGTCACCTTCAGGGTGAGTTACCTCCCAGGGCCTGGTCCCACCAGCTCCAGACAGAGGTGCCTTTTGAACGCTAAGTCCAAGTGATCTCCCTGGTGCCGGAGCTACACTAATCCTCTCGGTGCCCGGGGGGGCAGGCTGGCCTCATGGCCACCAGAACCTGGCTGGTCTCAGGACTGAGGACAGGCACAGAGCCTCTGATGACTCACCTTCATGTGTGTACCGCCCTCTACAGTTTACAGTGGGCGTTGATCCCTGATGTCTGGTGGGAGGGATGGGGAGGTGGAGAAAGGCACAGCTGCCCTCTTTGCATTGTATTTCAATTTTATTTTATTTTATTTTTTAAAATAGATTAATTTTATTTATTTATTTATTGGCTGCTTTGCGTCTTCCATGGCTGTGCGCGGGCTTTCTCTAGTTGCCGAGGGCTTCTCATTGCGGTGGCTTCTCTTGTTGTGGAGCACAGGCTCCAGGCACGCAGGCTTCAGCAGTTGTGGCACGCGGGCTCAGTAGTTGTGGCGCACGGGCCCAGTTGCTCGGCGGCATGCGGGATCCTCCCGGACCAGGGCTGGAACCCGTGTCCCCTGCATTGGCAGGCGGATGCTCAACCACTGCGCCACCAGGGAAGCCCCTGTATTTCAATTTTAAAAGGCAATATTTGTGTTTAACACTAAGTGCCAGGAATGGGGAGTCAAAAACGGGGTTTACTGAGCCCCCACGAAGCTCCAGGCATATTCCAGACGTTTCCTCTTTAATCCTCAAAACCCTGCTGGGAAAGTGTGATTATGCCCATTTCTCAGATGGCCAGACTGAGGCCCCAAAGGAGAAGTGATTGTCCAGAGCTGAGAAGTCATATGGGATGTAGGAACACAGGCACATGTGGTTCTTAGGGTCCCTACCCTGGAGCCCGTCTAGCCCCTACAGATGATAAGATGGTCCAGGGCCTGGGCTCAAGCACCCCACTCACACCCCTCATGGTTTTCACCGACTTGCTGCCTTGTGGTGCCAGCAGGGACCCGGGATGATGGGAATAAAAATGCCACCTACTGAGCACCTACGGTGTGCTGCGCCCTGTTCTCAGCACTTTGCATGATTAAGTCACCTGACCTTTACAACATCCTTTTGAGGCCAGGCCATTCTGGTCACCATCTCAACACCAAAGAAACAGGCTTGGAGAGAACTGGCAGCAGAATTTGAACCCAACATCTGGCTCCAAAGCCTGTCCCATTAACGCACCCACTGCAGATAGGGAAACTGAGTCCCAGAGAGGGGCTGGCCCAGGGGCCAGTGGTGACATTGGTGAGCTTGGCAGGACTTAACATCACCCATGCCTGCCTTCAGAGCCTCCACTGCCCCCCGGTAGGAGGGAGGAAGCATCTCCCTGCAGAGTTCGGCAGAACTCACATTTATTCTCAGCCTGGCTTGAGAGCAGGCCTCGGTGGGGAGAGACAAATGCCCCCCCCACCCTAGAGAGGTTCTCAGGTAGGCCTGGTGGGGGAGGGAGGAAGTGGCATCAATTAAACATGGAGGTAGGACCTAGGCTGGGGCTGGGGGTAAGAGGCGAGGAGAACTCAGATTTCTCCCCAACTGGTATGGAGAAAGTAAGAGCATTCGTTCATTCATTTGCTACACTGGTATCTGCACCTGTGTTGGGCTGAGAGTGGGGCACAGGCTTGGTTTCCCCAGAGCAACACCATCTCAGTGGGTTGGCATTGTGGAAGGCAGAACCTCCTTGAATGCTGAGGAAGAGGTCGGGGCTGTGTCCCAGCAGGGTTTGGAGTGGGCAGTGGCTGCCACTGAGGGGTGGGTGCAGGCACTGACTGGGAAAGAACAGGAGGAAATATTCTGGGGTGATGAAAATGCTCTATATTAAGATAGGGGTGCTGGCTACATACTGTATAACATGTCAATATTCAACAAATAAACATAACATTTGTGCATTTCACTGTATGTAAATTTTACATCTAAGGAAAAGAATCATAATGGTATCCATGTTGAAATGTTTAGAGGGAAATATACTGCTAACTGCAACTTTCTTTGAAATACATTTAAAAAAAAAAGATGGATTAATGGATGAATAGATATGCAATAAAGCAAGTATAACAAAATGTTAATGGTAGATGTAGCTGGTGGGTGTAAGATGACAAGCATATGGGTGTTCGCTGTATGTATAGACATTTCAACTTCGCTGTATGTATAGACATTTCCTAACAAAATATTGGGAGAAAATCCTCTGCAGGTCAACAGAAGCCTATCTGCTTATTCTCTTCGCACCTGCCCCAAGTTTGAAGAGCAGATCCATATCCATCTCCCTGAATCCTCAAATCAGTCCTGTGAGGCAGGTATTATACTCATTCAGCAGGTGGAAATATGTAATGAGAGGCACAGAGCAGGGAAGTGGCCGGCCCAAGGTCAACCAGTGAGTTCAGGGTTGAGCGAGGTCTGAACCAAGGTCAGCCTGATGCTGAGTCTGGGCACAGCTGTCTGCCCAGGCCATCTGGAGTGGGCAGTGCCTGCTTTAGAGCTGGAAACTAGATGCGTCTGGGGGTGTTTCCACTTCCTCCATCTGGGGGCCTAGCTAGGGTCTCCAGGAATGTGTCCAGACCAGGGGCTGATAAACCCCAGCTCATGTGACACCATCTGGGGCTGAACAAGTGCTCAGAATTAGCCACAAACCGCAAACCCTTGTGGTTTTGGGTCTCGATGCCCAATGTGCAGAGCAAATCCGGATTCCGGTCTCTCGTAATTACACGGTGTTTCCCTCCCTGGGTCCAGGATCAGACTTCAGCTGCTATATAGACTGGCCTGTGATCAGGTTCAGCCAAAGCAGAAGGCCCAGTGAACGGGACTCTCAAGGCTGAGCTGCAGGGACCTCCTGGGGGTAAGGAGGAGCCTCCTCCCTCTTCAGAGTCCGGGCAGGGGGAGGCTGAGGCCTGGGGAGGCAATGAGGCATGTCCCAGACTGGAGACCTGCCTGGGAGACCCTTTTCTGAACCTCAGTGATCTTGTCTGAAACATGGGCATAATCAGGAGAACCTCTCAGGGATCAGCAAAAGGGCCTGAGTCCCTTTAATTACATGGGTGAACAGAGCTTCACTCATCTTTCCCAGGGATGCTGGGTACTTGGGACCTTTGCTACCTCCCTGAGACACTGCAGCTGCTTGCTGATGCCAGAAATCCCTCCTTTGATGCCCATCTTTTTAAACTGAAGGTGGTGATCCCTCTTTGAACACAGAACTCTCTGGGCAGTGGGGTTAGGATGAGGTGAGGAAGCCAGGGGGAAAAATACCCTTTTGAACATATTAGTCCTTAATAGTCTAGTATAAATGAGTGCCTCTGATACTCTCCTGGGAGCAATTAGGAGTGGGGAAAGAACTTGGGGGCTTTGTGAACTTCAAGGGATGTGGGGGCAGGGAAAAGGGAAGA